ATATTTAAATTCTAAGCACATCTAAGCTAATTAATCAGACTATAAACAACCAGTTTCTAGTTTGTCTTACAGTCAAATGCATTTTAAGAGATTTCAGAGATTTTTTTATCTTTAAACCAAACATCTGTTTTCGTTCGTAGAAACTGCGATCTTTCTTCAATAACACCTGGATGGAGCGTTATGGCGAGCCCATCAGCCCAGGGGTTTGTACCATCGTCTGGAGTGTTGCTGTTGCCATCTTCAGTGTGGGAGGCATGGTGGGCTCCTTCAGTGTGGGCGTCATGGCCAACCGATTCGGCAGGTTGGAGATAAAACTATATTTATTGAAATAACCTTGATATTTCAAATTTGCTTTTTACTTGCATTGTTGTTACAGTAATATTCTCAGGGTGCTCATCTTTTAATTTAAAATGTATTCTTTTTGGCTTTTACTTTTTTAAGTTGGTATCTTCACCTTTATATTTGAGTTTTGCTTTTGATTGTACAGCTTTATGTTGCTTTTGCACCCATCACATTTGTACGGAAGAGGATTAGGGCCACTGGAAAAAAAAAATGTTAACTGATTTTTATATTTTATTTCACTTTAACATAGGAAAAAAGTCTTAAATCTAGACTTAAATCTCAGAATTCTGACTTTATTCGAAGAATTCTGACTTTTTTCTCAGAATTCTGACTTTAATCTCAGAATTCTGACTTTATTCTCAGAATTCTGACTTAAATCTCCCAATTCCAACCTTAATCTCAGAATTCTGACTTTTATCTCTGAATTCTGACAAATAACAAACATGTTAGCAAACAACTCACATCTTTGTCAGTGAAGCTGAGTGCTCCCACATCTCAAAATTTTGAGATTAAAGTCTCAAAGTTTCCCATATTAAACTGAAATAAAATTTTAAAATCAGTTAACTTTTTTTTTTCAGTGGCCCTAATCATCTTCCGTACATTTGCATGCAATTTTAAGTCGTTTGTTATTTGAATATTGCAATTTTATCCTCCAAACTAATATTTATTCATCAGGTTATTGCCTTAAGAAAGTTTTAGTGTAATTATTCAGTCAACCTCTTTAATTAATAAAAAAAATATTTGCTTTGTGTTATTTCTGTGAGTTTATGGAGTCAGTTTTAATGCAGAACATGCAAACATAGAAATTTATTGGAACCATAAAGCTTCAGAGACATTTAATTTAAATTTCCGTTCCTTCTGCAGAGAGCCTTTGCTGTAGCACTAGCTCATGATTTAATGTTTCTCTCTCTCAGACGGCAATCCATGTTACTGGTGAACTGTCTGGCCGTGATCGGAGGCCTCCTCATGGGTTTCTCCACCATCTGCTACTCCTATGAGATGGTGATTGCAGGTCGTCTGGTCATCGGCCTGTTCTGTGGTCTCTTTACCGGGCTGACTCCGATGTACGTGGGTGAGCTGTCACCAACACCCCTCCGTGGAGCATTCGGTACTCTGCATCAGCTCGGTGTAGTGGTGGGAATCCTGATTGCTCAGGTTAGAAATTTTACCTACTCAAGTACATAAAATGAATACATATGTAAGTAGAATTAAAAGCAATGATGCAATGAATGAGATGCCAAACATACTGGATTGAAAACAGGATTGATAATTAATTGGTCATTCAATAATTCATTGGCCTTGATTAGTAAAGGATATTTTGATTAACTACTCTGCAGCAGTGGGTTACATCCAGCTTAACCCACTCTAAAACCTAAGTAAGTTCTGGTTTGTCTTTTTGCGTTTAGATCTTTGGTCTGGAGTCTTTGTTGGGTTCCGACCGGTTGTGGCCCCTGCTGCTGGCCCTCACCGTGGTCCCTGCTCTGCTGCAGTGCCTGTTTCTGCCCTTCTGCCCTGAAAGCCCGCGCTTCCTTCTGATCAACCGGCAGAAAGAGGAACAAGCACGCAAAGGTAGACACACAAAGAAAAGCAAGGATTGAAGAATCTCTATTAAAGTTGTGAATTCAGTTAAAGAAAGTTTGAGTTTGTTCTCAAATCAGCCTTTCCACTGAGCCAAAATTTCATTTTTTTTTTATTATTCTCAAAATATTTACTCATCTCTTCTTTGATTTCCTCACAAGTTTGCTTGCTTCTGTACTAATAGAGCTTAAATCAAGCTTGTTAAGGTCTCCGTTTTCTATTCTGTTGTATAGCTGGTTTTCGATAGTCAACAAGTCTTTTCTGATGTGCCAAGTCAAGTTCCCATTCTCTACCTCCATTTCTCTGTACACTGCCATTTCTAGTGTATTTTGGTGTGAATCTATGTGCCCAACATAGTAGGTTGCCTCATGGACTGTGTGGAACCTAATTGGAATGTGTGTGTGTTATATTTAAGGTTTACATTTTTTTAACAAACCTTATCTTTCATAAACATTATGGCCTCAATTAGGATCCATAGAATTTTAATCAAATACTTTTTTTCTTATTTACTTGAGTACACTTTTTTGTTACTCTACTCACCCTTGCTAACCGTTAGTTTTATGCAGTCAAACTTTGTCATTTTGTTGTGTTAGGACACACTTTTTTCACTCCCCTTCTGCTTCCTGTTGCTGGATACAGGCGACTGCTTTCTGCAGTGCCATCTAGTGTTTGATAGAAAACCTTTCCCTAAATGAGTGAGGTGAAGTTGTAAATCAGGCATCCCCAAAGTCGGTCCTCGAGGGCCCCTGTCCTGCAGGTTTTGGAGGTTTTCCTGCTCAAACATGGCTGATTTTAATTAAAAAGCTGATTAAAAAGCTGTTACTCAACTTCAATCATCATAATCAGCTGTGCTAAAGCAGGTAAACCTCTAAAACCTGCAGGACAGCGACCCTCGTGGACCGACTTTGGGGATGCCTAGTAAAGCAAAGGCACGTTTGCTGCAATGTACATTTTCTCTCAAATCTGATGAACGGATCATCACCATCAGTTATAGAAAAAATATTCAGGTTCCATCCCTGATGTTGCATCATGTCATCCAAAATACATTACATCCCAAAAAGCTTTAATAACGGTTCTAATGATGCTCTGCTTCATTCCACTCTACCTATTCATTTAGATGTGCAGAACAGACAGAAGTTCCTCCAATGTTTAGAAGAAGGCTTTTAACTTCTTCCTCAATGGCTTTGAATATAGACTGTCTCTCGAATGAAGGCTAAAAACTTTTCAACTACAGGATCTGAAATCAAGCTGTTATGGGTTTTTTTAGATTATGTTTGAATTGAGTCGCAATTTATAGTTTGCTTTGGTTTCCTGCAGCTGGTGTGCTTTTGACTGAAGAAGAAACAACTTGAAATGTAATTTCCAAGCTATAGAAACTCTTAAATGACTAAATCTCTGAAAAAAAACATGACTGATGTACAATTAGAGCAAATTGCTTGTATGAGCTGGACTTGACAATAGTTTTTATGTCTGCTTATGTTAAACCAATCTGTATAAAGAATGTTGTTTAGAAATAATACAGACGGCACATTCAATTCAGTTTGTTTATATAGCATCAGTTCACTACACATGTCAACTGAAAGCACTTTACAGAAACTATTCAACCAGATTATACATTCAGATTAGTTCAAAGTTTTCTATATAAGGACAACCAGTTGATTGCAAAAGTGTCATTGACTCAACATCAATCCCTTATATCGAGCATGAAGGACAAAATATAAATGCAAAGAAAGAGCCAAAAAGTGGAGAAAGCTTTTTGATTTAGTTCAAAACAG